CACCATGACCCTCCTCAACACGCCATAACACGCTGGCACCCCCCTCAGCACTCTCCAACACACAACACACCGACACGCTCAACACGCTGACACACGCAACACGCTACACGCCACAAGCTGCAAGATACCACAACACACCTCAACATGCAACACGCCCCAACACGCTTCAAAACACAAGCCTCAACCCTCCAGAATACGCCGTCCTGCCGTAACACAGGACACACAACACGCTTAGACACGCATCATCGCGTAACACACAAAACACTTAAACATCCATCAACACGTAACACGCCTCAACACACCCCAACTCGCAACACAACTCAACATGCTACACGCAACAACACACCATACCACAGCTCAACATGCCATAACACAACCCAACATACCATAACACGCCTCAACATGCTCTAACATGCCATAACCTCCCAACACGCTGCGCTGCTGCAACATAACACTCCTTAACATGTATCAACATGCTGTAACATGCCTGAGCATGCACCAACACACAACATGCCTGCACACACTACACGTCGACACACGCAACACGCTACGTGCCACAACCTGCAAGATGCAGAGACAACTCAACACACAACATGCCACAACACACAACACGTGCCAACACGCTCCAAAACACAACATGCCTTAACACGCCAGAATATGCTGTAACGTATCATAACACAGAACGCACTATAACATGCTTAAACACACATCAACACATAACACACAACACGCTTAAACATGCATCGTGTAACATGCCTCCACGCACCACAACTCGCTACCTGGGCTCAACACACTACATGCCACAACATACCACAACATACATCAACATGCCATAACACGCCTCAACGCGCCGTAACATCCTGTAACACACCCCAACAGGCTGTGACGCCTCAACACGCTGGAACATGCCTCAACACACACCAACACACTGCAACACACCTCAGCACTCTGCAACACGCAACACGCCTCCACACGCAACACGCCTCCACACAGCTCAACATGCAACACGCCCCAACACACTTCAAAACACAACGCACCTCAACATGCCGTAACACAGGACATGCCACGACACACCACAACACACTTAAACACGCATCAACATGTAACACAACACACTTAAACATGTATCAACATGTAACATGCCTCAACGCACCGCACCTTGCTACATGGGCTCAACATGCTCTACACGCCACAACACACTGCAACACAACTCAACATGCCATAACATGCCCCAACATGCCATAACACACCAACACGCTATGACGCCTCAACACGCACCAACACACAACATGCCCAC